TATTAGTTTCATATGCTATTCACGCAATCTTGAAGTTATTACTCAACTAATGTTGGTTATCATTGGTTGCATTATGGTGTGGGAAAGATTCAATTGTTTAATATGAGTTATAGAATTGGTAACATATCTCGGACAGGAGAAGATGTTAAATAAGGACATTTTTTTACATTACGGGTATTCAAGATTCGATATGATACCCGATCAATGAATAACTTTGCATTTACTGTTCACCTTACTATATCTTATTGATAAATAAGGAGAGTGACATCATTGAACAAGTTTCTGAGTGCTTATCTGACTATATATGCACAAAAACCAACACTTAAGATGCATATTACTGCCAACGATCTTCAAAAATTTGGTCAGAACACATGTATTTCATTTTACAAAACTAAATGATATAAAAAAAAATTACGCCAAGAGCAGATGACACTCCCGAATCGTGCATCAGAATGGTTGAGAGAATATTTTGAATAGTTATGTCACATCTAATAACAAAAAAGTAAAAATGTTTGTTTAGGAAAACATGCATGAGTTTATTCATATGCAAATAACTATTGCGTCAGAAATTACTGTTTAAAGTTCCACAACTCTGGAACGGCGCACCAAACAATTTTTCAAAATCCAAAGAGAGTCTACATTCACCATAGCATCATCATTGTACAGTTTGAAGTAAATTGACCTAAGCATTCTAGATACAGTGTATGACATGAATAGCATTTCCTTTTATTAATTCGCCCGTCAAAATCATATTTTTTAAAAATCACGGTATCTCCTAAATGACACCAAAAGGAATTCTAAAACCAAAAGGAAATATTTTCTATCCATCCTATTGTTCCGTCATGTGATTCATGTTGTTGCACTTCGGTGTTACTGTTGTTCATTTGTTTTCCTCTTATAGTTGATGTGTTTTCCTCGGTTTAAGTTTGTAACCCGGATTTGTTTTCTCTTAATCGATTTATGACTTTCGAACACCGGTATACTACTATTGCCTTTATTTAATACAATTTTTAGTTTTTGTAGGAAGTAGTCATGAATAAACTACGGTATGCATTATACGTCACATCTAAGACGGGCTTATAATACCACACTTAAGAGTACTATGCACAAAGGAGACAAATAACACTTCTACCATACTTAAACAACCACACAAACCGCATCTCACTTGAAAATAAGATACAGCAAAACACTCCACAGGTTTTTAGAAAGCTAAAACTTGTTATTATTACTTCCTTCACCGGAGGCCCACATAAGTAACGCCGGGAATCCTAACTCGAAAACCCCGTAACGTTACAATATACATAGTTTTGTAAGGTATTTGCTGGTACATATTCACATTTCCTAAACCAAGACACATACACATTTCAATTATTCAGGAATTTGAAATGATAATTACTTAAAAGAGAGGCGAACGATACCAAAGGGCCAGTCAAACTCATAAGTCGAAAATAAACTGACAACGCCATAGCTAAAAAAAAAAAGACCAACAGACAAACAATAGTACACAAAAAACAACATAGAAAACTAAAGACTTAGCAACACGAACCCCTCAAAAACCTGGGGGTGATCTCAGGTACTCTGACAGGGTAAGCAGATCCTGTTCCACATATGACATCTGTCGTGTTGCTCATGTTAATTACAAACCCGGTAATAAGTCTAATTCGGTAGGTTACATTTGGGAAAAGGGGACGGGATTGTAGTTACGACATTAGGAACATATCAGCTTCATCTGTGAAGGGATGATTTCAACTTCACCACTTCATGACGTTGTCAGTTTGTTTTCGATCTATGAGTTTGACTGTCCCTCTGGTATCTTTTGTCCCTCTTTTGGAACTCTTGGTTTGATATCTTCCTTGTGAGCAGCATCCCTCTCTCAAAGAAATCTTGATAGGAAATACAAGCCCTGGAGTATCGTATCAACTGGGAGATATATACTCCGTATGCAGGCGCTGCTAGAATGTTGCTACATAAAAATGGAAAGTTCACAATATGGAATCTGAAATCATCTCTTTTGTCATAAAGTTTTGTTTTCAACCGACCCTCATTGTCAATTTCTAGATGTAAGTCAAGCTATGAGGCAGACTTAACTCTATCTGTTGTATCCATTATCTCAAGTTCGATGGGATAGTTGCGTTAAACATAGTCACCACATTTTGTATTATATAGTGAGAGAACAGCATCTATGTAGCGGAAAGTAAAGTTAAAGGATACTGCTAACTTCTGAAGAAGTTCCTGTATGAAGTAAGCCTCATATGAATAAAGGAACAAGTCGACAAGAAGAGAGGCACAGTTGGTTCCCATGGGAATGCCGATTATTTGTCGAAAAACACGTCCTCCAAACTTTGAGAGTTAATACTGTTATCGGATGGTATTATGCACATCCACGTAGTATTGAACGGCGTTGAATCTAGTTTAATGGTACATTATTTTATGTATTAAGTAGGATGTAATGTGTGTTATAAAGTTGGCGATTGGTAACATGTAAAATTTGTAGCCTTATTGTAATACATACAAAGCATTTAAATAAATAAATAAAATATATTCAAAATATCCGCCTTCCTTTTTAACTTTTAACTTTGTGATTAAAAAAGAACTTCCTGTATCAAGTTTTCTAAGTCTGACTGAACAAATACATGTGTTTTATTTCTTTTTCACTTACAAGGAAGATAATAAGTGGCTTCTGGTCTACTCAATGTCTATAACATGTGGAATATGATTTCAGTGTAAATATACGCTTGGTTAACAGTTTTTCCAAAAATATATGGCTTCCTTATACATTTGATTAAATTGAGGAAAGAAATTAGTTACTTCCGGTTTTCCAATTCAAACAGCAAGGACCTAACATTAAACACAACAAGGTCACTACTGAGCTATATTACTATACAACTTATTTTTAAATTTCAAGGGGACAAAACTCCTACGAAATGACACCTTATCCTTTCCACAATTGTTTTGATATGCGACATACTACAACTAACAATTTAGTATAAAATCTGTTGTAGATATTTCATACAATTTTCTAAAGGGTAACAATGATAAAGTTTCTATAGGGAAAAGTCAAACACAAAATAGATCATGACTTTGAACTTTGACCTTAATAACATTTATTTTTAGTGTCTCTATCCCTCATGATTTGAGAGTAACAATTACTGGAGGTAGTTTAATTTCTTTTTAACATATTTAAATCAAATATTTGCTCAAATTATTGTGTGTCTGTATTTTAAAAAAAATTTTGTATCTTCTATATCGTTTGCCATGATACATCAATTGATTGCTAAAGCGGTGTTATTTCATTACCAAAAACTGTCATATTTTTTTAAAGATTCACTTCAAATGTCATTTAAAGTTAAAGAAACTGATCTTCCTTAACATTGTAAAGATGTGGGACGTGTTTATCAATTTTGTCAGATAACGTATTTAATTCAATACCTTAATTCTTAGATGAAATGTGTCTCTTCGAGTTTCCTGTCATGCTAGCTTTGTTTTCCACATTATGAAAATAGCAGGATGCACTCGACATGTAGACATACCCGGACTCGCTCCTTTACTCTCAGTTTTTGTTAGTTATCTTGATTTGTCTCTTTCCAATCGATATTCGAGTTTTTAACATCATTAAACGCGCATTAATTCAGTACACACTTTCTTTTCAAATTTTCATATATATGATTGTTCTGTCCCATTTTCAGGACAACATTAAAAACAAATCCTGTAACAGTTTGGCTAAGTCCTACATACCTTTACGGGAAGTGTAGTTCAGACTGACCATTTTATTTACAAATTGTACGTATATTATGCTCCTGAAATAAATTGAGGTGTCCATACATTTTAAAAATATTTGGATTTTTATGTCGACGTAGAGACCAGTTATTATCCTTTGAGAAAATACCAATTCAATTTTTGTTGATTTAGGCGGGAACATTTTTAAGCTTTTTAAAATGTTATTTTACCAATTGTGTCATTTTCCCGATGGTGACAGTTTCATTGAGTGTGATGTATGCATAACAGGAGAAGTTAACACTATCGACTCATCTGGTTGCTCCTTTGGATCCCTCTGGTTTTTTTTTCTGTTACCTTGATTTGCATCATTTTTATTGATTAACATCGACAAACTACTGTTTCCCACATTTTTAATGATTGACGACATTGTTTTTAAAGTAGCTGCAGTGTACGATGTCGATTAGACTCTATGTAAGTGTTTTTTTTCAGGTTGGAGTTATCATTCATTTCGACATTAGTATCCACAAAATGTCGAAACGGTGACAGAAGGACATATTCTTCAGCCATTGCAGGATCGTCAAATTTGACAAATGTATAATGGGGCCGTTTGGACGGATTTCAAATCGTAGTAGTATGTTTTAAACATCCTCGCCATTAAACATCTTCGCCCTTCACAATCCTGGTCACAGATTTGGCTTAGTAGGTCTAAGGTATTTGTTACCTGACCTTTCTTCTATATATGTATGGGTTTCAAACTGTTTAATGCTTGATTAAAAATGAACATGGACGTACAGTAGTTCAGTTGTAAGTGATTATCAATCTAGGTAATTTGCTGAGTAACATTTTGTTGACTTGTTCGTTCATATCACCTTGGCTAGTCTTTCGTGTTGCACTCTTGGTCCACACATGCCACTGGTAGCAAATCATGGATACACAATTATAATAACCTTTTATAAATGAAAACCGCATTACAGGAAATACATTGTACTTTAAAATCAATGAAATAAGTTTAGATTCCTTAATACATGTCATATTCTTTCTTTTTTACCATATTATGCAATTATTGACATTAAAAGAGAGACCTGACTATGTTGGTTGTGCTAAAAAACGATAAAATCTACCAGATTTTCTATATTAACCCAAAAAAAAGAGATGTGTGTGTGTGTGTGTGTGTGATAGAAACTTTTCAAACAACACCCTTAATCATTGGCACTGACTTTTCCTTTGAACTGTCTCATGATATTTAATGAAATCATTGCATAATCAAACACAAATACAAAACAGACATTTCCAATAATATTTCATATTACTCTTTTATTCTCTGAAAAAAATACATGAAATAGTTTGTATAGTATTTTTGTTACTTTCATATTCTTTTTTATTAAACCCAAGTAAAAGATTTTTAAGAATATTTAAAACGAATTTTGATTTCACATACAATTGACCAAATTGGTTATATGCTGTTGTTGTACAGACTTTCTCCCAAATGTATCATTAGTCTAACACATTGATTCATTTGCAATGCAATGATCGACCATTACAGCGAAAACATTGTCATATATAAATCTTGCAAATGAAATTAAGTCCAATATCACAATCATAATCATCCCATTTGTACTGATGTTTTTTCCATAAATTAACACATTTGTAACTATCTTGCGGCTTTGGTTCATCTGGCGCCCATCGCGTGTAGTCCATGCCTCGGGTCTCCCCATTGGAAGTAACCCATTTGTATGTTCCATCACTGATTTGTTTTCCACCAATCCAGACACTCGTTGCTAAAAACAAGAAAAGATCTTTAGTATGGATGACTTATAGAAATCCTGTTTGATAAGTTGTAGTCTAATTGATTTATACCCAATATTAACGTGTACTCCTATATACAAACAAGATATAAACCAACAGTAAGTTGTATATCCGCCAAAAAGTTGTAAACAAATCAATATTTATGTGATCAAATGATGAGAAAATAAAAACAAAAGTAGATTACAAACAAACAAACGATTAAGATTTTAAATATATGAGTAAGTTAAAATATGATTATAACATAGAAAAAACATACTTATTTATGTTGGAAAAACCTATATAAAACATACTTTTGAAAACTTATTTCCTTATTCTGAAATCATGTTTAACTAAGTAAAAACATACTTCTTAAATGCACATAGGCCGGTTGGTGACACATGGTTGCTAAATTCCACGACATTTGCTCTCTTGTGGATAGTTGTCCTATTAACTATCATGGTCAATGTATCAAATCAACAGAGGCAATAGGATCGGGGGGGGGGGGGGGGGGGGGAGGGGGGATTGTGTGCAAGTAAAGCAGATATTTATTTAACCTTAGTCACTGCCATTTGTGCCTGAACCAAAGAATATGAAAAGAAAAATAACAATTCATGAATTCGGTACGTCATCAAGAAAGACAATGCCATGAAATTGAAAGCCAAGGGTGGATAAGTATTTATCAAAACATTACATTTGCAAATCAAGCTGTCAGGACCATGTTATTTTTTCGTTGTTGTTTTACCTTTTATAAAAGTATATTTCCTACATTATTTACATCCATACTGCAATAGTAGAGAGAAGAACGGTTAATTTTCCTTTCAGCAGATAAGTTCTTTGAGCTTGTTTTCAGTAGCAGTGAGCAATTTATAATACGATCTTATTTGTTTTATTATTTGGTCATTTAGTGTATACTTCGGTTTTTTTTTTCTGTATACCGTATTTATGACGTCAAGTCCTTTTTTTGTACTTATTTTGTTGTTTTTCTCTTTGAATTACACTTCCTTGATCGAAAATACGTAAGGGGAATATTGAGATTAAATAAAACCAACACCCGTTAAACCGTGCAACATGGTTACGAGGCAGTAGAAATAGATGATTAACCAATAGGAAAGTTGTAAACCAATCATAAAATATTATGTAAATATATGTAGGTTGTAGTTATCAAATCTTTTAAACTTTTAAAAGTCATACGTTTTAAATTTACTTTTCTAAAATTCACCTTTACCCATATTTAGATAGTAAATGGTCGTTTTGCTCAGATAGATTGACAAAAGCTATTTTTCATCATAAAATCGATCATTCCATCATCGGATGATTTTCATTCAACCAAAAATCTCATATCGTTCATCTTTTTACTCAACATTATGAAATATAAAAAATGGAATGTGAAACCTTTCCCCCAATTAGATATTTAGCAACGAATAGTGTTAATTCATTGACAAATTTAGCGTGCTTTCCTTCCTTATTGCGAGGAATTAAAATAATATAAACCTAAATATGTACGACTGTATTCAGCCAACCACTTGGCTTCATTTTCATAACAAATATCTGCAAGCCATCCGTTCTGATATCTGCATTCCCTCTACAAAACACAAGTTCATATTCCGTTATGTTTATTTAAAAATCATAATCCTTTGAAGTAAAATGTAAATATTGCAACACCTAATTAAAAAGACTGTATACATGTACATTATGCAGGAAGAGACAAAAATTTAGTTGCGACAAATTCCTTAAAGGAACGATAATAGGTTTTCTAAACGTACCATAATATTATGAACATAGATAAATGCCTCAGATATTGATTTTCAGTATAGAAGTTTCGTCTCAGTTGCATCAAATTATTATTGGTGTTGTCCATAGATAAGTAAAGAGTTTGTGCACATACCTTCAAGAGGTATTCACAATAAAGTGCAGCCACAATTTACAAAATTGAACCAAGGGTCTCGACGTTAAGCTAAGGTTTGGTCTTGATCGTCAAGATGGTGATTAAAACACTTTTCACTTTAAAACGTTTTAATAATATTAATGGCAATTTTGAATTTTTACTGTTAAGACGAGATTAAGATAAAGATCCGAAGTTTACTACAGATGAACATTGAAAGGGTCAGTTTGTAAACATTGACCGGGATCGTATTCAAACTAATTGACTTCACTTTCTAGTAATTGTAATATTCATATAACTCATAATCGTACATAAATCGTAATTTTGAAATAATTTTTCATAGAATGAGCGGCTACACATGCATTTGTGAACGTATTCTGAGTACATTATGGGGGCAGAAGTTCAAACATTGGTTATAAACAAAACTTTAAAAAGTTTTAAAAGAAACATACACATTATCAGATTAAATACCTATCAATGTCCCCACTGGTCGATTGAAAATGATTTATGCTGAAGAAGGACACACATATGGCCGTATGGCAAACACCATGTCAATTAAAATTAAGTGTTATGTTTAAGTATTACATGAACAAATATCGGAGACATTTTTCCATATTTACCTGTGCATCGTCCCATGGTAGTGTGTTATTACTAAAGCAATAAAATGCGCCAAAGTCTGCCCGTCTCAACCAGCCTCCAACGCAGTTAATATAACTATCTATCAATTACAAAAAAACGACATATTTGTTTTAAGTTAACAGGACTTTCTTGGTGCAATAACTTATGAATCGTTCAACCAAACCTTTTCAAAAATGTAGTAACTGATGACAAAGTGGAGGTCAAGTTCCATATTTTCCATTCAGGAGTTATGATCCTTGATATATCGGGAAATGGCACTTTGTAATGTAAACGTGCAAAAAATATGACCCGTTCAACCAATGTTTTTCGAATTTCAATTTGTTGTTACTGATGACAAAAAGAAAGACAACTGCGATATGGACGATTTTCTCTTTTGTCGTGCAGGAGTTATGGTCTTCATAGACTGAAAATGGCTTTTTATGTCACAAGAAGTGGAAAAACAATTTTTTACCATATTTGCATATTTTGCAGAAGCTATGATTATTAGATAGAAACTGTAAACAGCAGAAATGTTAAGATCATTGAGATGTACAAATAAGTCAACTTATTAATACATATTTATATTGATGAATTGGTCAATTGACCCCTTATAGGAGTTATTGCCTTGAAAGACCTTTTTACTCATTTTGCGTATTTCCGAGAATGTTAGGCTAAATTTATAGAAACTGTTAACAGCACAACAAGATCTACAATGTACAAGCAAGTCCAATAGCCGATATTGTCAATTGATTCCATATAGGCGCTTTTGCCCTTGATGTATTGCTTTTACCTATTTTTCACTACTTGATAACAAATTCGACAATTACCGGACTTTTTGTTTGTTAATATCTTTCACATTACAAAATTGACCTTCACACTTTTTAATTTGAAAATTGAAATTTTTCAAGTTAAAATATATTCAATGGCTCATTATATTCATACGAATTGGACAGTTGCCATTAGTTGTAATGATGGTTTATATGGAATTAAAATTTACAACAATATATGTAAAACCTTAGATTTCTATTTCTATCAATCTCTGCCTCGTATTCATTCTGTCGAGCAGGGATTCAGAATACCAGGTTATTTTCGGATATGTAAATTTACCAATTGTGTCTTATTTCCGATTGTAACATTTGAGTAGGGATTCGCCTTGTGGGTTATGTATGCATGACAGGAGATGCTTACCCTGTCGACGAACCCGTATTGTTTCTTTTGGAGTTCATGCGACTCCCTCTGTCATTTTCTTTCAACTTGATTCGCATATTCTAAATCGATTTATGAGATTTGAACATCGGTCAACTACTGTTAGCTCTAATTTGAAAGATGGAACTGATTGTTTCTCTCTATCTATAACAGAATTTTACGTTTAAGTACGATTATCAGTTGTATCGCCACCTGGCTTTACACTCGTTTTTATTCATTTTTCATGCGTAAAATATAATTGGAAATCATCTTCTTATTTTAGCTCTTATCATCAAGGTGATATTAAAGACTTCCGCCATGTTGTAAAAGCAGAACACGATCGGTCTAGATTTTTTATCAAACAGATAAATGTTGAGGCAAGAAGGCAGTTCATTTGAAAAACTTTTAATTCAAATGAACAAAATCCTTTGAATTTGACTTATACTAATGAATGTTTTTATCAATACTGTATATTTCATTTTTGTTTAAAAAGCTAAAATTAAATTTACCTTTATATATCACTCAATTTTGTTTTATAAAGAATTGTAAAATAGGTTTTCTATGTTTTTATAATTTTGTTAAAAGATTTTTTTCGAGAGCTAGCTTCCTATACTTTATATAAAAATTCTGTCTTTTAGTTTTCTTTTTATTCACATAACAATGCTTTTTTCCTTATAAAATACATTTTAGCAAAGTATGAAAACGTTCTCTCAGCTTTTTTTAATGTCCCTATAAAATCTTAATTTAATATTTGCGAATATAACAAAAGCTCCCCAAATGATCATGCTCAACCGTACATAATGATTTATAGATGTACCTGATTTATTAATATACTCTCCACATCTTTCTTGTCGCAAATATTTGTTGTCTAACACATTGACTCTGTGAATCAGCTCATGTGATGTTTCATTGAATGCTGTCCAAGAGTGAATTGTGTCATTCAGTTCTAGTTCCTGCTGTATAGTGATATCGTGTAAACTTTCAATTTCGCATGAAAATGTCCGCCTAGTGTTTTCAAGTTCATATTCTAACTGTTGCTTTTGTCCTTTCAGGAACGCAATTTCATGTTCGTTATTAACAACTCTTTGAAGCAGAGCAATATAATTTTCTTTCATTACGCAAACTTCCATTCCGATATCTGTGATTTTCGCCTCCTCACAGTGAGCATCCACAGAACTTTGTGTTCTTATACCAAGCACATATCGATAGCAGGAGAATGACAGTAATGAAAATACCACAACTAACCACTTATTCATTTCAAAAAATATTAAATGTATTTCTACATTTACATGTAATTCGCAATCTTCTTATATTTTTTTAAAACACCTAATAGAACACATGAAAGGCAGGCACAAAGGAGTATTATTGCACAAAAGAAAATTTGTTCGCAAGATAAACAAAGGTTAATAGTATAATCCAAATGAATAAAGTTTAACAAAAAAAGTAACAAAGTCGTACATTATGATATCATTTGAACGGATGCAATAATAAGTAAAGTTGACCAAACTTTTAATGAACCTCTTACACGTCTTAAGATCAAAACTATGATCAACTTGAAATACATCACGATACTTGAAAAGGATTAACATTGCTTAAGCTTGTTTTTAGAACACTTGAGTTGGATACAATGTACGTGTAAACTACTAAATCATTAAGTTTGATTTTATGCAATGTTGAAATGAAAAAAAGATTTTTTTGCTATTAATGGCGGGTTTTAAAAACGTATGATACAGTTTTTGGTGACCATGTGAACAATTAAATAAGATGAAATTTTACAGATGCTGTAATAGTTAACGAACTGAAAATCTTATTTTTTTTTAATTTCAAAACTGATGCGCTTAAGTTTACTCTTGGAAATACTGTGAAATAGTTATCATTTGAGTGGTACTATATAACTTGAATATTCAAAGTGTTATATATATATATATAGAGAGAGAGATACCAAAAGGAACACTCAAACTCTGAAACTGACATTATTAATATGCTTGATTTCTTGATTGACAGCATATTTGTTAAAGTTTGGAGTACGTGTTTTTTTTTCTTCAAAACATCAAACGTCATTTTCCAGTTAACCAACTGTGCTCCTTTTATGCCGACTTGTTCCTTGCCTCATATGAGGCGTACTTCATAAAAAACTTCTTTGGACGACTTACAAGAGGCTAGCATTATCTGCTTGATGTCCTCTCACTACATAATTCAAAGTTTGATGACTTTGTTGAACGTATCTATCCGTTCGAACTTGAAATAAAGGATACAAAAGATACGTTTAAGTTTGCCTCATATCGTGACTTTCATCTAGAAATTGACAATGAGGGTAGGTTGAGAGCAAAGATTTACGACAAAAGAGATGATTAAAGCTTCTTTCTATTTCTTTGTAGCAACATTCCAACCAGCACCTGTTTATGCATGCAGTATATTTCTCCCAGTTAAAACGATATTCCAGAAATTGCGTTTCCTATCATGATTTCCTTTACGGAGGGTTGCTGTTTACAAGAAAGCTTTAAAACCAAGAGTTCCAAGTGGCGAAGTTGAAATCCTACTTTCGAAAATTTTGCAGACGTCATCACGAGTTTGTCGACGGTTATGAAATATCTGTTTCACAGATGACGACGGATCTCGTCCAATTGTCTTAATCACAATCCCGTTCTCTTTTCCTTGAAGGTGATCTACCGAATTAGACTTGTCACCGGATTTGTTCTAACATGAGCAACACAACTCTCCCGGAGCACCTGAGATAACCGCTGGTTTTGGTGGGATTCGTGTAGCTAAGTCTTCAGCTTTCTATGTTGTGTTTTTAGGCAATTGTTTGTCTTTTGGTCGTTTTTCGTTTTTAGCAATGGCATTCAGTTCGATTTCGACTTATGTGTTTGATTATCCCTATGGTACCTTTCGCTTCTCTTTTAATTTTTAAATTGAATAGACTATTTTCATATTACCGACTTTTGACTCCGGATTATATAATTTGCCGACTGGTTACCTTGGACATCATGGTACTCGGTCAAGTAAGAGCAACCAAAATAAGTAAAATCAAACATATAATCGGTGTTATTTGAGGGGAAAGTTTACTGTTTTCCGATGATTTTGTAGAAAAAAATGTTAAGCAGGTAATTTTCCGCCAAAATTGTACCGATTAAAAGCTTGGTTTTACTTTTTTAGCTTACTCTTACCTAAATTGGTACCATGATGTCCAAGGTAACCAGTCGACAAGTTATATCATCCGGAGTTAAAAGTCGGTAATATGAAAATAGTCTATTGCATTGATAAGATTAATAAATGACTGTATAAGAATTCAATTATGCATAGTAACACAGAAATTGAGTAAGGCTCGAAAACATAAAGTAATCATTCAATCATGTAGATGAGGTCAATGAATCCAGTCAAAAATTGGATTATACAAGAATAATGTTATCTAAAATGTATAGTATATTACTGAAATCTAAACCTAAGTACGTAAACTTGAATTGTTCATTTAACCATCCAAACGAAGTCAGGCTCATGTGACACCTGTTTGATGGACAAAGAGGTTCACAGTAAAAAGACACACTCATCTATAACCCTAATTACAGAGGTACTTCCTGAGTACAAAAGCTTAATATTGATCATTTAACCGTGGGTAATAGGTCAAGATTTTGCAACACGGAATAGTCGATCTATTACTTATAGTTATTCAGAAAATGCCTTTTTTCTGTTAAAAAGAGTTGGTAGATACCAAGGAAACATTCAAAACTAATCAGTCGAAGAGAAACAGACATCCCTATAGTAACAAAAACGCTACATAGAAAACCAAAGACTGTGCGAAACGATCCAACCGAAATACTGGAAGTGTTCTAATGTGCACCAAAATGGTAAACATACGCAGCTATACTAGTGGCCCCCGTTATGGTTAATACAACTGTAGTGATCATTCACAGCAATAAACTATGACACCAGGTCTAATATACACTTTATCAATAACTCTATTTAGTCTTTCAGGCTGTCATGTTCATATATAGTCTACATTTCTTTTTGTACAGAGTTTGAAAGCAAAACGTAACTACTGATCGTAATTTCACTATTTCATACATGTGCCCATGTTTAACTAATTTCAGTATTTTTGAAAGGAACTTAACATAGTTATTTTTAAACACATAAATTATATATTATAATGTGATTTCTGCAAAAATGTACATATACCTGTAGAAATTATTCACAGATCAACCAAGATATGGCCATGCATATGTGTACTCTAGTGCAGTGAGACCTAAAGTACCTAGATTTACATATACAGATATGTTTCCCGTGAACAAGTGTGATACAAATTAACTAAATGACTCCTGTGATGAGAACATAAATTATACAGGTATTATAAATTATTAGATATTTTATGTGTATGAATAACGTGATAAGGAAAAAAAAAACTGTTCTCTTCAAACATGAATTTTGATATAAAGTATTCAAATAATTAAGACTTATTGAATTGCTTTCGCTCGTTTTCTGACTCTCAATAAATTGATTGTAAACGGTTACAGAGTTTAGCATATTGCAAATATATTATTATGAATGTATGAAATGTGTTTTGCCTTAAATGAATTGATGATCAAACAAATGTGAAATTAGAAAAGGTAATAATATTGATGCTAACACGAAATAAATGATAATCAGAGTTTATATAATATGTAATACACACTTGGGGACAAAACTATAATTACTTTGATGAATGAATCAAAGACTGTTATATTTTACAGTGAGATTTTCACAATTTAGTTTTTTGGTCACTCTTTATTTTTTTCCTATTAACACGATTGCTTATGGAAAAGAAGAGTTAGTTAATGTAATAGAAAAATAAAGGCTATGGGGTCTCCATCCATCAGTACATGCACAGCAAAAACACGTATAAGGAAAGAAACAGCGCTTTTATTGCTGTTCTTCATCGTGTCTTTATTCATGATAACAAAGCTGTATGTACACTTGACAATTTCAAAGCAGAAGAGTAGTGTTTTATTGCTGTATTCTATTTATGAAGTCTCTTTTAAGAAGTAATTAACGTATTTATGTAACAATAGTTAAAAAACGGCTTTTAAATTTTAGGTATTTAATGGAAAGGTAAGCACAAATTTAAAGTTAAACTGCCATGAAGCTTATTCAGCATTGATATAAAAAAGGAAACCCTTTATAAGCCTTAATGAAACAAAAATTCTACAATAATATTGCACATGTATATTCATCAGAAAACTCAGAAAGAATATCACAATATATTAGATTTGAATTTACAATTTAAAGAAGTAAAGTTTTAAAATCATTAATATCTATGCTAGTATAAACATTGTTTTAATCAATACTTATGTTTTATCTAATTCCTTCCTATTCATATTGACAGCAAACTTTTGTTTGAAAAGCAGAGAGTGGTATAAGTGCTTATTATTATTTTCACAGCGAATTTTAGTTTAAGGTATTTATTTGTCAATACGTATTTTTTCAATACCCTTATACATATTTTAATTTTAACTTGTAAAACAAAAAAAGTATTACACTTGTCATGTGTATACTAAAATAATAACATGACAATCAAAACTTCTTCAAACCTACTGAATTATTTGCAAATAATGAAATGTTATTTAGTTATGGACCTCATTATTACAGAAAGTAAGGAAAACAATAATCATTTGTCAATTGTCGTTGGCAATTGTACCAAAACACTTGTCATATCTCGCCCTTCTTATCATAATGATATTCATAACATATTAACCTTGAAACAGAACAAATTTTTATAAAGTTTCGAAAGCTATGTTTATCATGTTTATAAGGAAAATTTCAGAATAAGTGGAGGAAACTATGTAATATGTTTTCCCGATGGTACTTCAGTCAAGTATTCTTTGCACGTAATGCTTAATAACTGCCTCTTTGTGTCGCTATGACCGTTTAAAAGTTCAAGGTTTCAGTTTAAGATGTTTTACTGACTGAATCATGTTTTTTAAAAATGTTTTTCAGTACAAGGAAATTGGAAGTTTGAAGTTTGTGCATTTACATTTCTTTGGTTACAACCGCTTCGCTCTCTGTATGTTTAACCGCTCTGGGACACTATTTGCTACTTTCCATATGTTAAACTGCCCTGGGACACTTTCTGCTACTTTCCATATGTTAAACTGCCCTGGGACACTATCTGCTACTTTCCATTTGTTACTGCCCTGGGACACTATCGGCTACTTTCCATATGTTAAACTGCCCTGGGACACTATCTGCTATTTTCCATATGTTAAACTGCCCTGGGACACTATCTGCTACTTTCCATATGTTAAATCGCCCTGGGACACTATCTGCTACTTTCCATGATAGTCCCAATGCCCAATGTTAATTTGACTTTCCCATCCTTTATCCAAGCTAAGTTGTTCCGCTGAACCTATGCTATGTATTTATTAAATAGGACAAATTAATATTAAACTTGTTCAGTGTCGATGGTATATGCTGTTAGCTTTTTTTTCAATGATTTATTTAAACAAACAACATTGGGTTTTGTTTACAAATTTCCTTAATTAATCAGGGAATCTATTTTATTGTAAAAACTCTAGT